GGAACAGAATTAATATGGAAGCCCAGCAACACTTTTACAACAAGAATACCTCAAATAAAGACTCGAGCCAAGTTAAGACATTCACCAAAAATCAAAGTAAGAATATGCTATAGAAACAGGTTCTAAACGTGGGAATAATCCGGTTTGCCAAGGTTGGTACGCCGAACAGTGGCAAAATAATAACATGCTCCAATCACAGTTTGGGTGAGCCAGCTTAATTCCTGCGGCTGCGGCGCGGCTCAGTTCGTATATTCGAAGAAGCCGCAAGTCTGGAAAGTTCACGCTGCTCGCGTTGGTCTTTTAGGTTCTTTATGTAGATCGTCTAAATCTTATTCTGGACAATAGTTTCCTCTTTTCGCACTCATCCTGGGCCATACTCAGGATGAGTGCGAAAAGAGGAAATAGGGAATGATTTGATCACGTCTTTTTACGTCGCCCGTGTCTAGGCGTTCAACCTGCTTTTCAAGCTACCTCTTTTCAGAAAATGGAGGGTGGAATGACTCCAATGCCTGGTGGAGCTGCTGCTGGCCCCAAATCAACAAGTATGATTTACATTTGTGGAGGTAATCTAGTGGTTTTCTATTATTTTGGTTTGTTGATGACGTTCAGTTTTGTTTTGTTGTGGATTTTTATAATTGTACATGTCGATGAGTCCACTTCTTCGTTCTATAAGAGTGCATTCACACTTTGCATCATCGTCTTGGGCATACGGCAGTATTTTGAGCGTTTCGCGGACTGTGGTTGAAAACGCCGACGCTGAGCACGAACGCAGCCTAAGTCTGTAATGCGATGTGTCTTCATAATGTGATTGATAATACGGTCTGAATTCACACAACAGTGACTTTGTTATCTTAAATCGTATGAAAAGAGGATTCTGGATGGGATTTTTGAACAGCGATTCTTCATTCAGTGTTCTAGTAACCTGCGGTACCGTTGGCAGGCGCGGCGAACTAAGTGTTCCCCCTTTGTACAGTCATGTTACGCTTGGTAATTAGTGGGTGCGCGACAGGAGCTCAGCGTGCGATGTCGCGCATATATGGGTATGTCCCGTTCACGGTAGTTGCATGTCGAGCTGAGGATCCTAAAGAGACATCCTCTGAACGCTGCACTCATCGCTAATGACGCCAGGGCAGCCTGGGCGCCAGCGTGTTTGGTGGTGCCACTCCACAGCACTTCAGTGTCCCTTCCTCTAACAAAGATTCGGATCCAGAGCGCAGGCGGTTAGAGTCGCCGCAGGCTACTCTGACGAAGGAGTCAGTCTCTACGCGACTCTAATCGTCGGAGCTCTAAGCCCTGCCTTGGTCAGGGGAAGGGACACAGAAGCGGTACTCAGTGGAACCCCCAAATTCGTTAAAACCAGGCCCACATGTGGACACAGGACGTTGACTCAGCGAGTAATTCAAAACCACCGATGACATCTGGTATGACACCTCCTAGCTCGTCTCCAAGGTGATCCCAGAGTAGCTTTAATTGATTTCAAATAAAGGCTCGTCAGCTGTAGCGCACGTACGTTACCTGCTTCTGGATAGTTGATGACGTGTCGTTCAACAAGTTGAGATGATAAAAGAAGTATTTTACTGTTGTCAGTGGCGTTCAAAAACACGTCATTATATTACGTCGCGTGACGTCAGTGACACGTCATCCATTATCAGGTAACGATTGGACCGCGTACCTTTGCTACAACAGCGCCGTTTTCTTAAAAAAAAGAATTCATGGATAATCCAAAAGGTCCATATGATAACAGCTCTCATTGCAGAATGTCACTATGAAAACGAAATCCGACCGAAAGACGCTATCCGATGTCGGGAGTGTGGCTATCGAATCCTTTACAAGAAAAGGAGCAGGAAATGTAAGTTTTTTCAATATTCTTTATCTTTTTAGTGTTTGTCCCTCACAGTTGGTTCTGAGGCGATTACGCCTCTACTCGCTACCGAATGCCTGGTCGGATGCCAACCAATTCTGAGACCATTAGTAGCATATCGAGCCAGCATTGTGTCGGACGCGTTAGGGCCGACTTTCGGGCCCGTTGAGACCAGTCCTCCAGACGCTGTAACCCTTCGATCTATACACACGATGTGTGGTTTAACAAGAGTAGCGCTGGCGCTGTTCGGCTTAGGGGAAGGGCATCGATCGTTCGCCAGTTTCTTTTAGTAGTTCCCTGTTGACGTGCATGTCTTGACTTGGTAAGACCTATGGCCTGTCAAGTTTAGACCAAGCTAGTGGTACGACATAGCTTTACAAGAGTTTACAGGTTTCCATAGGAGGCAACGATGGAAGTTAGCAATATACCCCCCCTCCCGAAGTCGGACTGCGCTGAAAAGTTAGTAATTAGAATATTCGCTCTCCAACGAAGTCCGGATTTACTTAATGTTAATCGTTGAATTGCTGTCTGATCCACTTTTACGACCCTTTACAAGGGCTCCTGACCGGATCCAAACTCAACAGCTTTTTTACGGTTCTCGTATCTCTCATCCCCTACAGTGTATATTTAATTTCCTGTGGCGCGATAATGTTTCTGCCATGAACGAGCCGACGGTTGTGCAGAACAGTCATGTTTAGACCTAGACCGATTCGGCGCAGTATGGCTTGTTGGGGCACCGTATCTCGCACTCTGCTGAGGTTGTACCGGTTACCTTGTGAAGACCTGTGTATTTTGAGACCAAAGTGGCCCACTCGTTCAATTTCTCAGCTTCACAGTAGTTTACAAATCTGACGGAATAGAGACCTTTTAGTTAGCATCAATTAAGAAAGGAACTAGTGAAAGTGTGAAATGCCCTTCCATCCCAGAGCCCCATTGTCGAGTGCACACCCTAACTTGCCGCGTGTAGGAATGAGGCACGGAGCACATTTATGCTTACACGTCTGCCCGTTTTGTAAGCAGTTCTCAGAAATTCCGACTGGCAGTTCAGGTGAATTCTATAAGGGAGTTCATTTTTTAGTGATGGTGTACGACGCTCGCTAAACGAAGCGATAATGGACTTTGCGAAATTCCACTACGCATCATTTTATAAAAATTGTCATTGTCAGTTGTACATGTTCAGAGATGACGAATAAATTGTCGCTTTTGCTCTACATGAATCATGTGCTAATTGTAGATGACCATTGGAAATTTACCGAACACTGTGCCTTTCTTGTTATACAGACGTTTCTATGTGGGGAAAACTGAGCTTTTGATGTTCACAGTATGAAGTGATGGAGTAATTAAAGGCACGGTGGCTAGAATGGCTCAAATACCAATGGCACGATGGTAACTGAAACGGTTGAGTAAAAACCGCCTACCGAGAAGCCCAAAATGGACATTGGCCGTGGCTTGGGGCAGTGGGCGGGGTGTCGCCTCTGTTACAGGCGACCGGTATGCTCACCACGTATCCTTGGATCGTAAAAGTGAGAACATACATGCCCAGCGACGGCGTGTGCACACCAAATGATCACGGAAAGTGCCTTTAACACATTCCCGACCGCCGTTGCTCCAGGATCTCTGCACTTCCGTTATTTTTTGAACCGATGATCAGCTATTTCATCTCTTTCTTTCACTTTTCTATGAGATATGTGTATTCTGTGCCTAAAAAACGTGTTCTGATAACTTCGGAGCATGAATAAGATGCCAAATATACCGTATGAAATGGCTCAGTGAGAAAAAATTATGACACACCATTTGTGTCACGCGGTCCTGATCGTGTTAAATGTTAAATAAATATGCTTCATTTTTTTCAGAATACAAAGGTAAACTGATGCCTTAAGTCGCGTCTGTGCCGATGGTGCCCATAGAGCTAGGGCCTGCGCCGAACTGACAAAAAAAATGTTAAAATTCCACGTGAAGTGTGAATGGAGAGTCACACCTCGAAGAAGCAGGCACTTGCGCCCGTTTCCTGAGTGGCGGGGTTACCCAGCAGAAGCCTGACTGCGTTCATTCTTCACGATTCGCGTGACTCGCGCGTGATTTAGAGATTGTGTGACTCTATGCGACAGCTCTATACGGCTAATCGTTGGATCACTGCGACGGGAAGAAAACCTGTTTCTTATGCGACTATGAACAGTCGCAGCGGTCCAGCGCATAGCGATGGAGCGCGGTTATGCGCAGCCGCGCGACTGAATCACTCAAGTCGCGGTTTGCGAACGCGGCCTTGTACGTACATAATTACCCTCGTCCAGGGTAACACTATTTTTTCGGTACAATTTGTGAAACATCGTCATGAGCCAGTCCAGCCACCACTCGCTAAGCAACCCGTAATAGAAAGACTCTCCGCGACATCTCCATCAGTTGGTGTGGCTCGATTGCCAGGAATGGAATGTTTTTCGATGCAGGTTCTGTTGAGAGGATATAACGGTAAAAATAACCCTATACTCACCATATACAGGGAAGACAGTGAAGTAGAACGCTTTATTACAATTGTAACAAAAGTACGATTTATACGGACAAGGGCGGCGCCCGACCGGGTGGATGATACGTGCACGCAAGACGACTAGATGGTACAGAAGTGGGCGTGCAGTGATCAGACAGGAATTATGATTGTGAATGATGAAGATTTTGGGCAAAATAGATCAAACCGACGACTATCGCTCTCAATACTTGTAACGCGTAACAACGAGGAAAGAGAATTTGGTGAGATGAAAAACGGGATGAAAGGAAGGCCGCCGCGGCCGTTTGTACCCGACACGGAAGATCAGAGACAATGCACGACGGACTCTGGCTGAGAAGGAAGCGATTTCGGTGTCATAACACCTAGACACCATAACAGCTTGAGGGGTACGGGGTTTATAAACACGTGGGTAGGGGTTGTGTGAGCTTCGTGACGTTGTCAAGGCCAAAATGCATTGACAACGTCACAAGACTCACTACGCTTGGGTTGGGTGAGGCGCTATAGATACAATGCGATGAAGTGGTGGTAAGGAGGTGATTGGAGGTGAACACGATGGTGGAACACACAGAGCCTGACTGATCGAGCACGCGTGACGCACTCCACGCGGACGTGCAGGCGACCGCTCCGCTCTCCGACACACTACGACGCCGGACGAGGCGCTGATGCGCCCATCGATGGTGCTGTTGCTCCGCTACCGCCACCAAACATCGCCGGCAGTTTCGGCCGCTCTTCCAGCTCTTTGTATTCCAGTTTCAGCTCCTTTGGGATCTGGGAAAAAAGTAAATAATAACAAAAGAGAAAACAAAGCAAAGCTGGCCAAAAAACCTCGAAGCTAGCAAGCTGCGACCTTCATAAACCAAAACAGGTCATACCTTTCGCCATTGCAATGGGTCAAATACGTTGTATTGGCCCTTCTCATATGATCCAGTTTGTTCTTTCACTCCGCCGTATTGGGATCGCGTCAACCAGTTACCGTCTCCTTTATGGAATCGCCAATCCCTTTGGTACCTGTAATATTTCACGTCCATACTTACATCGATGTCACACCATTTTGAACATTGAGAGAAAAGCGCTGATAACCTTTGTGAGGGTAGGGGAAAGAGGGCATTCAAGGACTCCGAGTGCAAAAAAGAGTGATTGCCGCAATGAAGATGAGGGCTTTGCCTAAGCTTCGAGGTTGCTGAATCATTTTAAAAAGCAGGATTTCTATTTGAATGATTATACCCCCTTTTTTAGATTAGTTTTAGTTTTAAGTGCCCCTTTCTTCAACGTTATTAGCGTCGAAGAAATTAATGCAGGGAACGGAAAGATTTCTCAACAATGACGTCATCACGTTCATCGAAACGACCTCTGAGTGCAGTAATTGAAAAAAAAAATTCGAACAAGTGAAATCATAAGCACAAAACCTAAACCTCGCAGAAAATTTGGCGCTATTTCAGCGAAGATAGGCATTTTTGGGCCAAACATCTAAAGTGTTTAAGCAAGGAGAGGGGTCACTATCGCAAGAAACCAGAGGGATGAAGCTCTGCCCCGCCGTGTATTCTGACTGCCCTAACACATGGCTACTACGGCAAACACTTCATTATAGAAAGGCAGCAAAAGTGATACCCGCCCAGATGCAAACAGAACATCCTTTTCGAAATCACTTATTGAAAATAAGTGGTTCACCCATCTAAGGGCACCTACTCGCCCTAAGATTAAGCAAAAATCTCAGTCGCCTGGCTCACAATCGCTTCTTCTCGTGTTCTATAACTAATACGATTGCCGTTCAACACTCGAAAAACCAAAATTGCGCACAAACGAGGTACGTCACACTTCAAAAATTTAGAATGCTTCTTGCGCAGTATTGATTATTGCATCAAACAAACAAATGCACCAAAATAACAACATTTTTATATGGTCCTTGCATGCTCATTCATTAACTGCTTAGTAATCAGTAGCTGAGCATTAACGCGACGGTTCAACTGGATGTTGTTCCGTTGAACCATTAACGTCGTAACACCTACACCCGTTGAAAAAAATGTCCGTCTATCCCAAAAAGTGTTCACACTGGGGAAAACCTAACAAATTTCATATCTAAGAGGTTAAAAACCCCAATTAAGTCTTGACCACAACGACCAAATTCCAATCAGGAATGCAAACGAGTTATCTCACAACCTTTTCGTAATATCCAATGAGAAATTAGAAAAGCATTTGAAAGCAGTGCATAAATTACTGTAAAGGTAAAATGATACAGTTTATGCAATAAACTCACAACTCGCAAGCAGCCGCTAATTGATAGACCTCGCCAGGACAATTGTAAAACAGGTAGAAAAGTACATCCTCTGACAACTTGTTTAACTTAACCGGAGGCAGCTTTTCCCGAATTTGAGCATTTGTCAAGTAGTCATCGGGTACCTCAAATGAAGAAAATTTAACAATGCAACCAAAAAGGGTTAAGGTCAGCCACCCTGCCCAAAAGCAGACTCGGAATTAACGTGAGAAAAATCGAGTGAGAAACAAATGTGGGAAAACATAACACAAACAGAAGAAAAACAAACTCTGAGTTAACGTACCTTCACATCCAGTTCGTGCGGTCGAATCGGATTATCAGCCCACGGACCACCGAAGGACGTGTATAGATGTCGCCTGCAACTTAAGAGTTTAGAGGTTCCTTTGCAAAGAAAATGCAGGAATCACTAGTATAATAGAAAGCAGCAAGAATGGTTTCTGAGGAACACTTTTCTAGTTATACCACCTTCATTCAAAAGGAACTAGAACATTATTCAGGTAATGCAACCTACTCAGATAAGTTCAGGTTGAGTCCAAGGGTAGTGAGATCGTAGCCGAGAGCTAGTGACACTATGGATGGGTTGTCAACAGTCCGAAGATAGGTGACGAGCCCTGCCATGCCGAACTGATCCGCCAACATGGTCGGAGGAATGTTCGACACTTCTCCTAAAAAGGAACTACTGAAAGAATTATTATTAAGTTTCCAGTAATACAATAACCTTGCAAGGACTGCTGCATTTTTCAATTTCACCAAAAGAATCTTAGGTGCATGTAGTTCAGGAGATCCGTATTGCGGCACCGCGCTCAAGCCAGCCTTTATTCCTAGCTAGTTGTCTCAACACAGCACCTTGACGTTATCATTTACTTCATGCACCCCATAATGTTCTTTTCACTCCTTCATAAAGAAATTCGCTTGCCATGGTTTTGAGCGTCCGCTAGCAATTTCAGCTGTAATCGATATCTGTACATTCTTAGACGCTCAAAGCTGGCGGACGCTCAGAAACGCTCACGCAAAGTATGGACGCAGTCTTATTGGACACGTTGAACAATGATTTCAATAATCAAAACTTGAAATAGAAGAAAGCGATGTATCCACTCAACATTTTCTGAGATGAACCATGAAATACGCGTTATGGGACGGAGGCACTCGCGGTCTGTCGATTCCACGTCAAAATGTTGGTCAACTAGCAAGTAATACTGGTTTGCTGTGACTACGATCCCCTACACCACTCCTGGAGCTGCATCGAACAGTTAAATCCAGATGCGGCACTACTTGCACTAACCACTCCAAATTATGCGCGTCAACAATGAAACAGCAATTCGTAAAAAAGTAGCCATCGACTGAAAATCCATTCAATATTTGGATCACGGAAGTAGACTCCATAAAGAAAGCAAATCAAATTTCAGTTCTAAAGTGCACATTCGGACGTATGCAGAATTAATACGATCAATACGTATCTAGGTCACTTTCAGCAACTGCTCATAGAATGGCCAAACCATAACAGTTAGCAACAAACCCCGCACAAACAATGCTCTTATTGTCAGATTCACAAAGATAAGGTCGAATGGAGCTCAAAAGCCAAAGTAAAAAGATACAGAGGGGGGAAGAAATACTAGGATATAATTACTGGCGAAGATACACAGGTTCAGAAAAAAAAAACGCTTAGGAATCGGTCTGACTTGAAAAGGTAAAACAAACTACACAGACGAGAGTTACGAAACTTTTAGGCGCCGAGGAGATTTAAATGCGCTCCTCACTACAAAACAAGTCTCATTATAAAACAATGGCGCTGTTCGACACATGGGGGAGGGGGCATATTGCACCTGCGCTAGTTTCTTTACTGGATTACGGGTCTCACCTTGTCAAGTCCAGCAGGCTCTTGTCAACTGTGAATGACGATCATGCTATAGCATAACTTCACAGGATTTTACAAGTCTCTAGGAATCAATGCCCCCATCAAGCTGAGCTGCACCAAAACAGCCAGCGAGGAATCCGGATGTAGTTTATAATAAAATCACACATTCTTTCGATTCTCCCTCAGTTAATGGATGCCTCTAAAAAAACTCGATTGGCTGCCAAATGGCCAAAGAAATTGGGGGTCTACATTGAGGACTTAATGGATAATTCTCAATCAGAGTGTTACATGGACCGGACCAAAGGATGTCCAGATAAGACACTGCCAATGCTGTATGGTACGTGATGAAGAATTTGGGAGAAAGAACAAGTAGAAGCGGTGAAAGGTACGGTGATTGATGTGATGTTATGAACTTTTTTTTCTCACTAGAAGGAAAAGAAGAAGGGAAGTTAAGCATTATACTGAACTATTGAGCTCAACAATTAGGAAAAAGATACCCTATCTTCTGTGGTAAAAGGTATATACTCGAATATAGGCCACACTCCGCCTTCCAGCATCGCGAACGTTTTTCACGTTTTCCCTTTGCATGTTTTCCGTTTGCTGTTATCCATGTGAATGATATATATCAAGTAACATT